CTCTCCTCTCCACAGAGCATTGATCTTCAAGGCCATACATGATACATGAGTGGGACACATTCCCTGGAATTAGCTGTTCCCTCTTTCTTTTTCATGCTTAAGAGGTAAGAGCTGCACCAACTTCCTCTATAATAGTCACCTAACAGAGAGTACAAGGTATTCTTTGTACTGTCAGCAAAGTATGATGATACCTAGATTGGTTTTCAGTGTGTTTTTTTGTTTTTATTTTACTGTGATGTTTTTACAAAATCCATAAATCATAGGGATGTGATAAGAAACAGGTTATAGTTGCTGGTTATTCTTGTCCAGATGCACAGAAATGCCCTGATTGTTACTTTCCAACAACAGCCAGCTCGGGCATAACAGTTTTCAGTTGCACAGCCAGCTTTCAAGGTTACACATAGATACTGAATGAAACAGAGCCCACAGGTTATTTTTAGAGAGGCTCTAAACAAGAAGTAAATCCTTGGAGCAGTGCTGCCAGAGATGCATAAAGTTCAAATCCAAATTAAAACTGCCTATCTTTGGCTTAAATTCCAACTTGAATTTGAGGTAAACTCTGATCTATAACTTGAACTTTATGACAAAAACTCCTTTGCAATTAGTTTCTAATACCTGAGAATACATGAACCTGGTACGAACACTTGAAAAATAGAACTTGAATGAAAAATGTGAATGTTTGTCCAAAAATGCAGTACCTGTTCTTGTGAGATAGTGTTGTATGACTTTAAGTTTCAGTAGCTACACTGGAATTTAGAGTCTAATTTTTTGTGATTCTTAGTTTCAACACAGCTTTGTAGGATCAAGTCCTACAATGTAATTGTAAATTTTGGGGACAGGATGAGAAACAGATGCTTATTTACTGATCCCTATAATAATGACCTGTGATGCTCAGGTCGAGGTTTAGTAATGACCATGACAGAAAATGAAGAAAAGAGATCCCTTGTCAGCAGCATATTTATGCAAAGTAGTGCAACTGAAGCATGTTCTTGATTTCTTTGCTGAATCAGAGCCTGTATCTTCTTCCTGCCAAGGCAGAGATCTAATACCACTCCTAAATGCACTAGTAATTCTAGAAGCCCTAATGAAAGTCAAGGTAACACCACAGATTTTATAAATAAAGGTCTTTATTTAGAATACTGTCAAAAACATTCTTGGCAACCACATCATATAAATATATAAAGTTAAACTTTAACACAACAAACCAAGCAATATTAAATATTTTAATTTTTTTTCCCCTTTTTGTTTTAGGTTGTTTTTTTTTCTTTTTTTTTTAAATGTATTTATTTTTCTCTTTTTTACCAGTTTTTTTTTTTTTTTTTGGAAAGCAACTCTTATTTACAATTATACAAAAGTTTTATAAAAAATGGTCCACAACCTTATTTTGGCCAGAACAGGAGTAATAGGAAGGATCTATCATGCCACTACTGCTGTAGATTTCTATTTTCCTCCACATTCAAGAGCCAACTTCCTATTCCCCACAGCCCAGATTAAACATTGGCCGTTTCATGGTATACAATTTTATCTGTAGACGTATTAAATAACTTTAGTTTAACAACCAATAAATAACTATGTGTACTTCAAAGTGATACAGGTTTGCAAAGTTATATAGTTGAAGGAATTTTCAGTGATATTTTAAAACTGGAACAATAAGTCTTAAGAAGTCTTCTCAACCTTACAAAGCAGGTATTGAGCGAGGCCAAATGGAGCAAATTGCTTTTGGTGCAGTCCAGCTGGAGGGGTCCTTATAGCACTTGGTAGATGGGGTTGCTGCTGCTGTTATCCTGGGGAAGTGGGGTGCAGTTGGTGGGGGAAGGAATTTGGGCTCCACTATCACTCAGACTCACTCCTTCTGAAGGGGAACAGGGACTCCCTTCAGCAACAGTTTCCACTGAAGGCAGTATGGGGCATGTGGAATTATCTGTGGAAATCCTCTCTACAATGCTTGAGAGGCAATCAAGACTGGAAACAACAGAACTCTTCCCATGCTTTGCATCTAAAAAACAGACAAAAAGGCGCTCAGATTATCCAGTGGATAGTACAGTTTAGATTAGATCAGATTATCAGGGGGCAGTACCTATTTATGAGCATGTGAAGACACAGAGGAAATGAATATTGGTGAAGGACACCAATTATCAGAAAACAGATTGTAATTTCAAAATGGAAAAGAAGCCCTGCTCTGGGGACAGGGAGGAGCCAAGGCTTCACTGAGTTCATAGAAAGGGAAGACCAGATTTGAAATCAATCATAAATTACTCCAATTTGCATCAATGATAGAGTAAGAAGTCTTAATGTAGAATATGGTTAAATGCTGAAATTAGTTGCAGAGAATAACATACTTCTATCCAACTGTTAGATTTCCAAAGTAGGAAATGCAGCTGTAACACATCCCTGTATTTGCAAATACACCTAGAGGAAATCCAGTGCCTCTACCAGCAGCAATGGCTTGCTGTCTGGAAAGGCAGGTCCTCTCTCAACCCAGCTGGGCATGGAGCAGGCACAGGAAAGCTGCTGCACTGCCTGCCTCTGTCTCGGTGCCTCTGTTAGGGCACATACTCACCATTTGGGGACTCTGTGTAGTAGCTGCTGTCATAGCTGTTCCTTCTGCGAGAGCTGCAAGGAGGCCCGCTGTACTCCATCTGGGAAGGAGAGAAATCTGAGTGAGGTCAGACTCTTACCCAAATCCCAGAAACCATCTAAGTTTGTATTTCAGACTCTGGTCTGTGCCATCATTCCAGTCCTGGCTGAAATGCCATCAAGTTGTAGATTCTTTGAGTAAGGAAGAACATGACTTGGCTAGAAGGGGATCCACCCCAAAATATTTTATTTGGCACAGCTGTACCACAGGAAAGTTACCACCATGCCATTGAATGCTGCAGCTTTACAGGTAAGATGAGGGTTTCCAGCATTCTGATCAGATACAGCCCTTCATGTATCTTTAGTTTATAACAGGGAGACTGAAAGGGGAATTATGTCTTTTTAATTTAGGTTTTGAAGGTTTTTCTAAACATGAATTCCTCTTTAAAAGCCTCTGTCTACCTTGTCTCTTTGTATTTCCTTCAGTTTCTCTTCCCATTTCCATTTCGTATAGAAAATGCTCTAGAACATTGACTAATATATTTGTTTCCAATATTTTAATCCACAATGAAATTCCTCTGTTAAAAGAGGCTGTATCTTAAAGAGGAATTGTTCATTTAAATCTCTCCAATCTGTTAAGTATCTCATAATTGCAGTAATTAAGTAACTCAACTCAGTAATTATTATCCCCACCAGAGCACAAAAAGTAATCTCTGGTCTGAAAGTGCAGCTCATGGCCTATCCAGAGAGGTGTCCTGGACTCTGGTCACCACATCCCAGCAGCCCAGAGTCAGACCAGAGACTGAACCTACAGCCCTAGCCAAAAGGTGTGGGGATGAGACACCCATTGGCACCCACCCTTCTTCTCCCATGCCCATAATGTACAAACAGGACTGAAAGCCTGGATTCTTCTTCCTATTCCTTGTAAATATCTGTGGAGGGGATGAAGTGAGTGAGAAGAGAAACTGAGAATCTTTTTCTTAAGGATCAAGAAAAACAATTCTTGTTGCTTAGACCCTCCCCCCATCATGATGAATGTCAGAAAACAAAACCCAGACTCTTAGCAAGAGAGTAGTTACTTAGAGAGTAGTTACACTGTGTAACTACCATGTCGTAGGGGTCCTTGCTCTCTGCTGTCCTTAGAGGATTCAAAGGTAATGACACAGCAGGAGATGGAAACAGGGATACCTCAGGAGCTATGGAAGTACCCGCAATGCCTCCAGGTGCCCATTCTAGGCAGCTTCCCAAAGTCCTCCCCCAGCAGCTTTGTCCTGTCTCCTCCAGGATATGGGGAACCTGCCTAACTTCTTACCCCAGGGAACAAAGCGTGTAAGAGATTCTTCTTCTTTCCCCAAGATCCTGTCATGCGGGAACCCCACCTCCCTTTGCTGCGGGTGCTCAAGGCACGAGAAAGGACTTTGTCTTCTGCCTGGGGAGGTACAGAAGGCAGCTGCTACAGGAAGGGCAGGAAGAGGTGACCTGCCCTGCTCAGGTTCGGACCAACAGCGTCCAGGGCACCTTGGTGGCAGGGAGTCCTCCCTGGGGCACTCACCATGCCGTCGGAGCAGTTGGAGCGGGGGCTGGAAGCGTCCGATTCCCCGCTGTAGTGCTCCAGCACCGGGTAATAAGCATCCTCCTGCTCCCGCAGCAGGGCCTGCAGGCTCTCGATGTAGCGGATGGCGTTGCGCAGGATCTCCACCTTGGGCAGGCGCTGGTTGGGGTTGGTGGAGGTGCAGCGCTTGAGGGTCTCGAAGGCCTCGTTGACCTTGCTGAGCCGCCGGCGCTCCCTCATGGTAGCGGCCTTACGGCGGTCGGCGTTGGTGGTCTTCCTCTTGCACGCCTTGCAGGCCCACAGCAGGCAGCGGCCAGCCTGGTGGTGCCCGCTGGGCGCCCGGACGTGCTCCTCCTCGTGCCCGTGGTGGTGCCCGTGGTGGTGCGGGTGCTCGTCGGGCTTCAGCAGACCCCCGACGTGCACCAGCCGGGGGTCCAGGTCCTCGAAGAAGTGCATGTCCGACGTGTTGAAGCACGGGTCATCGTAGAAGTCATCGGCCGCTGCGAAGGAGCAGAGGGAGCCCTCCGTCATCTCCATGGGGCCCAGTAAGTCCATGGGGGCGGCAGAGGGGGCGGCGGCTGGGCCGGAGGGGACAGCGAGGGGCTCAGAACGGAGGGGCCTTCGACCGGGCTGCTGTGCGACCGGGCGGGTGTGCGGAGCCGAGACCCCCGCAGCCTCTCCCAGGTTAGGCCACCAGCGCTGGCTCCTGCCCCGACCCCTCCCCAGCCGCGCCGGTCTGGGAGCGCCACTCGGGGCCGTATTTATGGCCGAGCCCCCCGGCGCGGCGGGTCGGGATGGGGCGGGTCGGGGGGCGCGGCCGGGCGGGTCGGGGGCCGGGGCGGCGGGGGGGCCGCGGTGTCCCGCTGGGGCAGCGGCAGCCCGGGCGCTCGGATGCGCGCAGGGCTACATTTCCCCCGTAGCTTTTTTTTTATTATTTTTTTTTTAATTTTTTTGTTTCTTTTTTTTTTCTCTCTCTCTCTCTCCGCAGCCCGCCCTGCTGCAGCGCCAGGGAGAGCAGCCGCCCCGATGCCCAGAGGTGCCGGGTGCCGCCGGCCGCTTGCCCGGGGAACAGCGGCGACGGCTCCCCTGGTTCCTCACAGGGAAGAAGCCCCCAGCCCCTGGACAGGTCTGTCCGCGGCCCTGCGGCCACACGGGAAATTACTGCGGGGGCGTTCGTGGGGGCGGGCGGCTCCAGGGGACACCGCGGGCAGGCGGGACTGTGCGGGACGGCGGGGAAGTGGGACAGAGGGAGAGCTGGGAGATGCGGGGCAGAGGGGACAGGCGGAGAGCCGGGAGGTGCGGGGCAGAGGGGACAGGCGGAGAGCCGGGAGGTGCGGGGCAGAGGGGACAGGCGGAGAGCCGGGAGATGCGGGGCAGAGGGGACAGGCGGAGGGAGATAGGGAGCCCGGAGCGGCGGGACGGGCAGGTGGCGGCCACCCGGTGGCGCTGCGGGCCTGTCCCAGCGGGAAGCGCCGCCGTGTGCCAGCCTTCCTTCCCTCGGGAATCCCCGCGAACGCTGGCATTCCGGATTCCTCTTCCAGCTATGTTCACCTTCGCTCGGAAACCTTTGTAAAGATGGATCTCACTCCGTGCCGTGGCGTTTTGCTGCGGTTGCGCTGCAGTTGGATGGCTCGCGCGATAAGGATTTGTTTCCAGCAGCGGGAGAGTTTGGAGCACGGGGAAATGGGATGGGTTTTGGTAACGTCTCTCAAGGGTGCCAGAGTTTTTACTTTGGTTTTTTGAGTATCATTTGAGATGAGAAATTAGATTCTTCTCAGAGGAATTCAGTAATTCAACTATATGGTTTCACTGACTTAATGATTAAAATACTAGTACATATATTTAATGTCCCACAAGCTAAAATTAATTTCTGTTCTGCAGTTATAAATGTTGGCAAAATTTCAGCTCATTCAAAATCAGCAGCAAAGCTCTGTCTTCAGTGGGACAAGGGGTGACTGACAGAATCTCAAAAGGTAAAAAACATCCATCAATGATCAATCCCCAGTTCCTGTGCCTATGATTTCTCCGATGTCATGATGGTGGCTCATTTTGTTGTTACATGATTTGTTTTTTTGGCAAAAATTCCTAATCTGCAGTCTTCATTTTCTACCTACCTAAATAGCTTTGAGTACAGACCAAGATAAGAACTGTAAGTCACATTCTGTCAGTATCTCTAAAAGATAAAAGTTTTATTTAAAGATAAAACTATATGTTTGAACTCTATAGAAATTCATTCTTTCACTGTACCCGATGCTGAAAAGCAATGTGTCCCAAGGAGGGAGATCAGCTACTGACCACTCCTGCACATTTAGAAATGTATCTCCCAGCTGTTTCTGGGAGGCAGAGGGGCAAATTTGTGGAGACACTTCAATGTTATTACAGACGTTCTTTGAACCAGAAGGAATAATGATAGTTGGTTTTAAATCTTTATTGAACAGCTAACAAAATAAAAATAATTTGTATTCAAAATAATGCAAGGTATACAATAATGTAAAATACGTTTAAGTGAGAAAGGGTTTTATGCTGTAACAACTGAACATGTAAAATGGGCTTGGGCTGAGTGTGACTCACTCAAGACACTTTCTATAGACCATTGGCTTAAGTTTTGGAAAAAGGTAATTTTAGCTAATATTTAGTCAGTATTGTAGCCTATTCTGTCTCTGTGTGTTTCTGGCTTATACATGACCCCAGGAAAAGACACATAGGGACTTGAAGTGTGAGTAGGGAAATACCTTGGGCAAAGTGGTAACAAATAGTGGGGCTTGCACTGGCTCACTACTGGGAGCTGGCCAACAATTGTCCATGAATGTGGGTTCAAGTGCATGAATTCCTCCAAGTGGAAAGGTCAGGAAAATGCTGTGACCACACAGTGAATTCCACACAGTGATCTTCCAGTGACAGTGCCCTCGAGGATACCTTCCTTTGGGTTTGAACATGCCGATCTCCAGACCTCTCATCCAGTCCTGACAATTCTGATTCTGTGATTCCCTGTGTCCTGGTTAGTCACCCCAGGACACCCTGCTGCTGCCACTGCTAACATCCACTTTCCAGTGTGATTCCCAAAAACAGGTTTGTCCAGAAAGATGTTGCCATGTACAGTGAGGCCTGAAAACACATCCTTGCAAAGAACAAACCTTGAGATGCTCTTCTTGGTTTTGTGTGGCCACAGTGGAGAGGATGAAGGACAGAACAATCTCCACTTGGAGACTTTTATGTGCATTCCTCACTTTGAGAGCAGGCAAACATACGTAGTGCTTATGGCAAGCATTTACAAGGATTCCATTGTTAAACCTGTTTGGAAGCTTCTGGGGCTGTAACTCATAACTTCAGTAAAGATTAGGTCTCTCCTGAGCTTCCAGTTTGGCTGCTATGTTTAGGGTACAGGTGCTGCACTAGCTATCCAGAGATGTCCCAGATTTGGATTGTTTAGGCATTGCTTTGGAAGTATAGATACAGAGAGTGTGGATCAACAAGCATTCAGCAGAGAAAGAGAATTTGCAATGTTTCTATAAGAGCTGTTGCCCTTAATCTATTTTACATTTGTCCTTGATATTTTTCAGGATGGGATTGAAAAGGAAGCTGGGAAGGCAGAAGCAGATTGTACTTCCTATGTTGAGAAACATGGATAGACTCAACCTATACACAACTGACAGGTATTGTTAAATCTGAGATCATATTCACAAGCATATGTGCCCTCTCAGCAGAAGCAGCATGAGGACAAGAAGAGTTTATTATCTACAATAACTGATTGATTTCTCTTTTTCAGAGGATAGAGGCTGAGGAAACAGCTGGTTGTGAGCTTATCTGAAATTAACAGAATTGTCTTTTCAGGCAGAGGGCCCAGAATATGTTCTGCCAAAGGAAAAGGGAGAGAAAAAGACTCAAATTCTTAGAGTGTGTGGATACATTTCGTTAGAAGATGAATGTGAAAAGTCTTGAGAAACAGACATGGCACTACTTCATGGAAAAATAAGAGGCAAGTAAGTCTTGCTCTCAAAATTTTAGAAGTTGGGTTGTTTGTTATGTTGGACTTTATTTAAGGTAAAAGTTTAAGTGCTGTAAACCATGGAGGAGGCTGTAACTACGTTTCAGAAGGTCATCAGCTTTTAAAAGGTGAAGGTTGTTTTACAAGTAGGTCAAACATTACTAGTAGTATATGAAGTAGAAAACTAATACACTTGTTTAAAATTCAATTAGTAGCTTTGCTCTGCTCAAACTCAGTGGGCTGTATTTTAATACCGAGAGGGACAGATTCCATTGCTCTTATTCATGTTGAGTTGCAGTCAGTGGAACTAATTGTTGAATAAGGTATGCTCAGCATGAGGATGGGTGATGGAATCTAGCCCAGATGGAAATATCTTTTAAACTCCTTCTGTATTACAGAGCAGCAATCTCAACACAGGCAAATCTAGCATGATTCTAAAAGTGCTTTGAGCCATTCCTTTGACACATGGCAGTATTTTTATAGATGAATGCAGAGGTTGTTTTAAAGTAGTTGTGTTCCCCATCCCCACCCCAAAGCTGAACCACATTCACAGAAAAGATTGGGGAAGCATCTGCATTGTAGTTTTCTGTCCCATGTTACACCACCAACAGAAGGTGGGCTTTGCAGAAATTGCTACTCAACTGCAGCTGGATCAGAGTTTATGAAAAATGTTTTATTGTGCAGTGCTTTTATAGTAATGCAGTTTTCTGGCATTTGTTTTCACTCTGTCATTCTCTTCCATCATGCACAACTTAAATGTAGAAAAATATTGGCAGTTTTGTATACATATGCAAAATCTCTTGGGGAAGAATACCAGCATGCTTGAATTGAGGTGTGGTGGTGAACTGAGGAATGCACTGCAGATGCAGTCATGGAACTGAATTTATTTTCAAGCAAAACAGGAGTATCAGCTAAAGTATTACATGAAAGTATGAGGCAATCTTCCAATGAATCAAGCCCCAACTGCATAAAAGATGCATATATGACAAAAAATCCCTAACTGCAGGCAGCTGATCTGGCCTCTTCTTAGGTGACCTTGGGAGCCAGGGTACAGAATGAGGCACTCTGGTAGGACACTAATGAGAGGAATTTGGACAATTCTGCCCTTGAACCAAGTTGGTTAACACTGCCCTAATTGAAAGACAAAACTAATGAGTAGCCATTCTCTCTGATGCAATTCTAGTTAAGTGTGCTGTTTTTTCACTAGGATCTCATGCCCCTGCTTGGGACCAAATAGGGAATATAAGAAATAGCAGGAGTGCCACAGTAATACCTTTAGTGAGCTAGTTGAGATTGGGCTCTATATCATAGCTAAAGTAATTATCCTATGTTAAGTCTGGACACAGTCCTATAGCTACTGTCTTTGGTGACACAAAATATTCCCTAGAACCTCTAAAATTCTCACCTAATGAGAATTCCTAATTTCTCTCTCATGTGCTTTTTGAGGATGAGAAAAGCCAACAACTAGGCAATAACTATAGATAAATCAGCACATTTTCTTATTCCCACTGTTGAGGAAATGTTTGCACCCTTCATCCTGAAGAAATATGCTACTTGAAATAGCTGATCATAAATGCATTAGACTACTTATTTAAATTTCTACTAAGATAGAAATATAAGACAAAAAAACTTTTTTTTAAAGTCTTTTTAAAAAGTCTTTTTAAAAAGTTCATTATGTTACTACACTTGCTAGTAGTAATATAAAATATTCAGAAATATAAAACTAAATATTTGGATTTTCTGTCTTGTAAAAGTTTCCTTGTCACTAAAGGTGCAGCAGTTTCTTTTTTATTTATTTTCATAAAAATTATATATATTCTTAAAATTATTTGCACTAACTAATCCTGGTAATCATTTAAGAGAGAAGTAGCTTAAGAACTTTTGGCTTCTAGGAAGAATTGCATGGATAAATGTGAAAATCTAGCTGGCAAGCCTTGCTATCATTTAAAGCAAACAGTGGTACCGGCTAGATTTTGAGCTGTGACTCAGCAGAGGATGAGGGGATGGGGTGTAAAGCAGCAGGAGTTACAGAGCATTGTGTCTCCTGAGTTCTGGTCCCAGCTCCACCCTTGGGACAGGTTTGCCTGAGGAGCTGCCCCTTAGCTGCAGGAGCCTCGGCACTAAAGGCCCTCCCTGCCCTGCTTCACCTTTGCTCCTGTGCCATCATTACACTGTGGCAGCATCGTGGTGCAGTGTATGGTTGCATATATTGGACCTATGCCATTTCTGTGCTGGGAGCATTCTCTCTGGGGTCGCTTCAGACCTTCTGAAGCTCCTGTGCACTGCTGGAGAGGTGGGCAGGGGCTGCAGTGATCAGTGTGATCACTAGACTCTGGCTCTATGCTGGTCCTGAACTCTTTCTGCAGCCGGTCCATAAAGTAATCCCCAAGACTATTTCTGCCATCCTGGGAACAGTCAAGCCTGCGAGCATTGGTCAGCAGATCTCCCATCAGCTTGATCTTCCGGATTTTGGGCCCAATAAATTGTTTCTTGATAGTGCTCGCGCTATGAGGGTCTGCATTTTCAACACTCAGGGCATAAAGCTCTTCAAAATACCGTAGCATAGTTTTCCATTGTACCATTGCTAGTTCCAGGGCTTTCATCAGACCAACTGCATAATCACAGTTTGGTTTCTGAAAACAAAAACAGAATTGCATTTACTCAAAGGAACAGCTCATCTGTATTCATCAATGGATTCCTGCAACTTAACCTGGTGTTCTTAACAAGTTGTACTAGGATTTTGCAACAACTGCTTCTAGTTTCAAGCATCTATTGCTTTTTTTTCAGGCTGTAAATACAAATGGCAGAACCCAAGCACCTCTTCAAGGAACAGATTTACATAGCAGCAGCTATGCCCAAAGAGGATTCTTACACCAGAAAATCCAATCACAGAATGATTTGGGTTGGAAGGGACCTTAAAATCATCTTGTCCTAACCCTCTGCCATATTCCACTAGACCAGGCTGCTCAGAGGCCCATCCAACCTGGCCTTGAATGCTCCCAGGAATGGGGCATCCCTGGACAATTTTTCCTAGTCTCACTACCCTCACAGTAGAGGCGCTTCCTAATATCTAGCCTAAATCTGCCCTCCTTCATTTAAAAATCATTATCCCTCATCCTAACACTGCATTCCCTGACAAAGAGTCCCTCTCCTTCTTTTCTGTAGAACCCCTTTAAGTACTGGAAGTCCTAAGTTCCTCCTTGATGCAAACTGAGTATTACAAAAGATTTTTACAATAGCGTTTTTACTTTCTGCAGCTTAAAAACTGCTATGATGGACCAAAGAGGAGCATTCTGTATTAACTAATTTTGTACTGGAGATTCAGCCCCTTGGTCTTAAACAAATGAGGTGGGTTATTTTTTTCCTGAGAACTTTTGAGTTCTTCCTTTGTACCTGTGCAAGCCCAAGTTAGATCTTAGTTCAAATTCTGTCATGAGCTGTGCTTTAGGAAATCATCTACTGCCTCAAGCTGGATGGTTCTCCTTCCTTACCACTCTTCTTAGGTGCTAGTTATGTCTAAGCTTCCACTTAGTTCAGTGTGAAGGAGACAAGTGGGCTCTTTCAGCACAATTTAAGAAGTCATAATCCATTACAGCATACTGGAAATAGCAGTGTCCAGCTGAGTGAAAGGAAAGGGGAATACTGTCCATATCCTTTTAGGCTGGAAAGCAACCCCATAGACTTAGGACTGCATGTCTGACAGTTTCTAGGCATCACAATCAAGAACAAAACCATGTACAAAGTATGCCAGATAAATTGTATCTGTAAATCTAATAGTGGGTGAATGCAGGGATCTGAAGTACCAACAGTAGAATTAAGTAAGTTAAATGGATCTTAGCTGCTTGAAAACTTGTTGACTACTACGCACCTGGATGGTTTTAGAGCAGTAATGGCCTCCTCTTTCTTGTTGATACTTCATCAACGCCTCCGCGGCTTTTCTCTCTTCCAGAGCTTGATGCAGGAAGAACTTTGAAATATTTGGTAGAGCCACATGTGACTGATCAAAATATTCACCCTAAGCACACAAAACAGGAGGGTTAAGATTTCCCGGAGATGGGACTCACCTGCAGCAGAATGTGGCTTTAACAGAACTTGCGAGACCTTTCCAATAGAAGGTGTTTTGTTCACAAAGCACAATCACTTTAGAGCCCTTGATCCAATTTCTACAGTAAATTGAGTAGTTACAGTATGACATGAAAAACCTATACTTCTACTAGAACTCCTTCTGTTCTTTAATATTGGTCAGGCAGCGGTACTACTGATGTTAGTCTTGCAGTAGCAGTTAAGAGATCTTCAGAATATTTTATTTATGAGTGGTTAGCATGTGTGTGTTTTGTAATTGTGGAGGGTTTTTGTTTTGTTTTTTAAACATACTCCCAGAACAGGGAACATAAAATTTATCCCTGCAGGCCTGCATTCCAGTCAAAAGTTAGCTTTCAAAGGTAGGAGAAAGATGAAGCAAATACCAAAAAGAGAACAAGCACAACTTTGCATCTGTTTATCAGCTTTATTATAGACAATGGTATTCCAAAATAATGGATACTGCTACTGAACTATACACCTTCAATATTAGATGTAGCTCATGGCTGGGAAGGCCTGTCAGGAAGAACATAAATCTGTTGGAGCGAGTCCAAACAAGGGACACAAAGTAATCAGAGGGATGGAGCACCTCTCTTATGAGGAAAGGCTGAGAGAACTGGGTTTGTTCAGCCTGGAAAAGAAAAGGTAACCTAAATGTGTCCTTCCAGTACCTGAAGGGAACCTACAAGAAAGATGGAGAGGGACTTTTTCAAATGCATGCAGTGGTAGGACAAGGGGAAATGGCTTAAAACTCAAAGAGTGTGTTTGGATTAGGTATTTGGAAAATACTCTTTACTATAAGAGGGTGGTGAGACACCAGAACACGTTGTCCAGAGAAGCTGGGGATGCCCCACCCTGGAAGTTTTCAAAGCCAGGCTGGCTATGAGCTGCCTGGTCTTGAAAAAGGTGTCCCTGCACATGGCAGGGGGTTTGGAACCTGATGATTTTGAAGGTCCTTTCCAACCCAGGCCATTCTATAAATTCAGAAGTATTACAAGCCTAAATCCTCTGCAGGCCTTGTTCTGTTCTGTATGGGAAAGTAACAACTTAAACCACTGCCATATTTAACCATGCTAACAGATCTAATAACTTTTATATTTAGAATATTTTATCCATGGTATGGCTGTCTCATAAAGAGAAGTATTGCAGGTAGCAATGACAGCCAGTGGGTTAGACTGGTTTGAACACTGCTCTCATGTCAAAAAGAATGAGAGGCACCAGATGGGACTATGCCAAGAACCAAACTGAGGGAGCTACAGCATCCTCATCTGCTGCTGCCCTGACCATGTGTTTGCAACACAGCACAGCTTCTGTCTCTTGGACATGCTCTGCACCAGAGGACACATAACTTCATATCGAGCTGTTGGCTTGTAGCCCGCCCAGGAGGGACAAACAACAAGTGCATGTGCATTTCCTAAGTTCTGCTTCTGATTGTCTTTCCTGCTTTCCTCTATTCCCCTGCTTAAACAGGAAATACTTTCATTTCACCCATGCTCAGAAAGAAAATGAAAACATGTCAAACACACAAGTTTATGTTTTTCTCTTACAGTTTAAGAAACATCTTGGGATAACCCAAACTTGTGACACACATACACACATGTGACCATAAACCATTGAAAAGAAAACACATACTGGATTGCTTTATTTGCAGAATCCTTTTCCTCAAGTCACTCATTCCTGTTTCTGCTGACAGCACAGCCAAGGTTGAGTGTTTTATAACCACTTCCTCAGTGCAAGTGTGTGGCAGAACTTCAAGTGGAGCGCAAGTTAACACATGTACTTAATTGTTAAGGTAAATGTTTTATGTCAATCTTTCACTATTTAGGATGTTCACATTTTTAGGTTTGATTTATCCACAGTCAATTTCTGAGTTTTCTCCATCCCATCCAGCTGCCAATTGCTACAACTTTTTTCTTCCACAGGTTTAACAGGTTTTACTGCATACTTAAATTTTCATTGAATGAAACTGACACCAAACTCAGTTGAAGGATCTTGGGGATATGCTGGATATAGTTTGTGTTGCTTCCCAGTGGATGCTTGGCATCAGAAGGTATGGCATGGATAATTTTAATCTTTAATTTTAACGTCTCTGTTAAGTTATATCTTTGCCTTAACACTTGATATGTAGCCAGATGCAGTTTGGCATGAATTTGACATGGTATCAGTGATACCTTTTATAATTTCATGTCCAAAATTCATGCCTGTAGAGCAAGAAACCCTAAGCCATCTGCGACGTTCAGACTATAGTTAACCACACGTAATTACTCAACATAGTTTGGGGAAAAACCCACTCAAGCGTTATACTCCAAAGCTGTTAGCATTCCCTGTTCCTGTCCCTTTTCCCCAGGCCAAAGATCCTCTGTGAATTACCCAAAACACACGAGCGCTCGTTTCGTAGCCCGCGTGTTACGGACCTTCCTCGTTGTTTCCGTGGCCGTGCGGGCGCAGCGGCCGCGGCGCGGTTCTGGCAGGAGCGGCAGAGAGAGAGAGAGAGAGACAGAGAGAGGAGAGAGAGAGCCTCCAAACCCCCTGGGCGCCGCTGTGCCGTCCCTGCCCGACTCTAAACCCTCCACAGCCTGCACCTCCTTTCCACTCCGCCGGTGACTGCCGGCGCAGGGCGGTGGGGACACACGCCGTGCCCTCCCGTGGCCGTGCCTTACCAGCGCCTGCAGGCAGTAGTGCAGCTCCAGCTGGGCGCCGGTGACGCCGCAGAGCGCCTCCTCCACGGCGGGCGGGAAGCCGTGGCGGACGCGGCTGGCGGGCAGCGGGCGGTGCGCGGGGCAGGCGGGCAGCGTCACCCGGGGCCGCTTGGAGCGCGGCTCGGCCATGGCCGGCGCCGCCATGGGGCCGCCGCGCCGCCGCCGCGCCGCCTGATATAGCCCGGCACCTGGGACACACCTTGCGCGCTGCCGCCCGCCCTCCGAGGGAGGAGGAGGAGGAGGATGTGGGTGTGCGTGCGGATGCGGATGCGGGGGGGCCGGCGGGGACAGCCATGGCGTGCGTGGCCCTGGGCAGGCGTGGCGGGAGCGGGGAGAGCTCCGACCATCGGCGGGTGCCGGCAAACATCCCAAAGAGTGAATGACTGACATAAAGGATTTACCTTAACAGTTAAGTAGATGTGTTAACTTGGGCTCCACTTAAGTTACTGCACACTTGTGCTGAAGAAGTGGTTATAAAACAGTGAATCTTGGCAATGAATGACTTGAGGAAAAGGATTCTGCAACGAGCGTTCTTAATAAAACACTCCGGTATGTGCTTTCTCTTCAGTGATCCCCGATTACACGTGTATATGTGTCACAGGTTTGGGGTATCCCAAGATGGTCCTACAAACGTTGGAGAAAAACATAAACTTGTGTGTTTGACATGTTTTCATTTTCTTTCTGAGCATGGGTGAAATGAAAGTATTTCCTGTTTAAGCAGGGGAATAGAGGAAAGCAGGAAAGACAATCAGAAGCAGAACTTAGGAAATGCACATGCACTTGTTGTTTGTCCCTCCTGGGCGGGCTACAAGCCAACAGCTCGATATGAAGTTATGTGTCCTCTGGTGCAGAGCATGTCCAAGAGACAGAAGCTGTGCTGTGTTGCAAACACATGGTCAGGGCAGCAGCAGATGAGGATGCTGTAGCTCCCTCAGTTTGGTTCTTGGCATAGTCCCATCTGGTGCCTCTCATTCTTTTTGACATGAGAGCAGTGTTCAAACCAGTCTAACACGTTGGCTCTCCTTTGCTTCCTGTCTCTAATGCATTGTCTTTATGGGACAGCAGTACCATGGATAAAACTCTTCTAATGTAGGAGCTGAGCCCTTTTCCAGGTAGTCACATTCATTACCTCCTGTTCCAGCAGCAGCATCTGAGAGTATGGCCAGGCTGGCTAAGGCTGGAGTGGCTGCTGAGAACATGCAGGCAGAGGCAATCCTGAGAGGGAGTGAGCTCTGAAAAGTCCTGGAAATTTAGCAGTGTGTGTATATGTCTTGGCTACAGGGTAAATTCTTTAGGTTTTTTGGTTTGGTGCTAAAAATGTTGGTGTTGAACTGGTCCTACCTATGCTTGTTAAACTCTCTTCAGTATTTTAGTAACCAGTAATCCCCAACTTGTACAGTAACTTCAAAATACACATTACTGATTTTTTTAAGTGTTTTACCACATCTGAATGGAGCTTGGCATTTCTTGTGCATTTCTTTAACAGATTCAGAGCAGTGGAGTGGAAATATGAGTAATCTCAACACCCTTCACAATCAATAATTTTCTGTTCAGTGACTTTATTTAGTAAGCTCAGTGTTATGTGCTGTTTCGGGGAATATTTTTCTACCAGATCACTCCCCCACCAACCCAGGATGCTAAGGGCAGAATCGTTTTCCGTTGCCTGTTTTAATTGTTATTGGATCTGACTGCCTAGAGCCCAGCATGCATCATCTGAGAGAAGTCACGTAGAGATGTGAGAACATTCCTCATTAAAAACTTAAATAATTCTTGTTTGGTGCCTCCATCTCATATGTTATTTAGCCCTCTTTGTTTGCTCTAATGATCCATTTTTTAGTTCTGATTCTTCATGTTTTAGTAAATTAGAAGTTTAGCTTAAAAAAATCAAACAGCATTTAAGCATTTGGGTAAAATTTCATGTGACTAAAGTATAACTAATGTTTGCAAGGCTAAAGTAAGTATCCAAAGTCATTAAATCTCAATATATTGACAAGACACTTGAACAACGTACAACCTTATTCTGAAGTTCTCAGTAAGCATCCTCTTCTTCACTGTAGCACTAAGGACTTTTGCTGGAAGGATGTACCTTTATCAAAGAGCTACCTTTTAGCTCCTTCCATTCCAACTATCCTTGTTTTGGCCTGTAAGTAGTTGCTAGTGTCTTATTATTCCAGAATAATCCAGAATAAAGATTCCCACAGAGGAGGAGGAAAAGAAGCAAGTGTGATGCCTCTGTGTTTGTATGCATTGACATCCCAACCTAAATAAATACTTGATGATCTCCTTTCTTTGGCCAATCTGAATAATTTGAAGTGTGAAATGGCAATAGAAAGCAATTTAGCCAGTGTCCCCATGGAAAACTTTGCAGTTGTATTTTGTTAATTGGGCATTTATTGCGATAATTTCTGAGCATATCAGCTCATGGAGGCTTGTCTCTGCATTAGTGAACTTTGGAGTCTTTGGAAAGCAGTATTAAATTATCCCATTTCAGTGATGGATACTTAAGAGACAAGGACAGTTCTTAAGGCCATCTGTGATGCCTGGAGCTGATCTGAAACCTGACCCTAAAATTCTTTATACTTACTCCATGTGTTCCTTTTATGAGAACACCATTCAATTTACTTTGCTTTGTGCTTCATGGAACTAAAGGAAATACACACCATTTGCACTGTTATCAATTGTATTATGGAAAAATTCCATGACAAAGTAATATAGGGATTCTTGCTACATAGCATGAAGAGGTGGTATCACATGCTCTTTGTATCTGGACTGGGGAAGGTATCATCTGCTCCTAAAGCTTGTGACCTCATGAAATGCAGCATTCCAGGGAGCAGGCACTTTGTTCAGTTTCTTAGTTAAAACGTTTCAGCACAGAATATTCTGTGATTCTGTAGGGACCTACAGGGATCATCAAAGGGTCAGTTACAGGCACATAACTTGATAAAAGGTATCTTTTAATTTTTGTAATTTTGCTTGATTTTGGTACAACACATTTTAAAGTGTGTTGAAAGTATATGGCAGAGTGGGAATCCAAACCACCACAGTGTGGTGTACAGAACTACAATTAAAATTCCATCAAAATAACCTCTCTTACACACAAACCCATACCTTCAAAGTAGAGAAGGTCCCCACTCCTTTTCCTTTTTATTCTTTGGCAGAGTGCAGTAGAGAGGATTGTTTATGTCAGTGGGCTTTAACAATGCTCTCAAAATATTATTTTTCCTGAGCCTACTTAGCAAACATTTAGTTATATCTGGCCATTTTCTAGCCTGATTCTCTCTCATTTAAAGCTACTAGCCTCTTTAGGCTGCACTTTGTGATCTGGTGTTAGTATTGTTTATTCTTTCTCTACAGGTAGTGAGAGTTGTGGCTGTTGGTTCTCTCCAGCCACCATCTGTTTGTTTCTTTTTGGCTGTGATGGGTTTTTCACGTGCTTTGCAAATACTCTATCTAATGCTGCCAGACTTTTCTCTCATTCAGTGCCCATCAATACCTATGATGAAAACAGAGGGTTGTCTGAAAAAAGTAATAAACAAATAAAAGTATGATATGTGTGCTTGTGAATTGGTCTTCTTCATTCATCATTTTGTTTTGTAATTAAGTGAAACCAAAGCTCTCTGGCAGGAAATTAAGAATGATTCATATGAACACCTGTGAATTCACAATTGCTTTTATTGGACTTGAAGTCCCTTAACCCATTTTTCTTATGCTTTTCTAGTCTCAACAGGTGCTTCATCTCACTATTTTATCCAGTCCCACTCTTTTTTACTTCCTTTATCCATGGAGGAAAAGCCAGCAAGATTGAGTTGTTTTGTTGTTTTTTTTGCACTGTATGACTCATAAAGTTAAAAAAGAAGCCTGAAATTTGGGATGTTACTACTTAAATAAGCATAGCAAAATAACCTTTTTTAACTGACTTTCAGTAAAAGTGTTCATCAGCAAAACACAAGATGGCTCTGGGGAGGCAGCAGTGTTGTGACCAGGCTGTGACATGGACATTCTGGAAATTACTTTTTGTCTCTTTGTCACCAAGCAAATGGCAAAGGCTAGCTTGCTGTAGTGCTCTGAAATCAGCATATTTTAGTGGTACAAGAGAAGGATTGCTCAAAAATAAAGCCTAATCCCTTTGAAGTCAGTCTTGTTGCTGTCAAACGGAGCCGACTGAAGCATCTATTTTGGGTTTATAGGTACTGAAAATTACTATACTGTGCCAGGTCTGCATGTATTTTGCATATATTCAGTTTAATAAAATGAGGTACCATAATGAAATTCTGTTTGAAAAATACTTGGATTAACTTTTAATTTTGGAAGTATTTTTTTAAATGCCTTTTTTTGGCCCTCTCCTCAAATACTCCAAATCTTAGTTTTCAATTGCTTTCTTTTTCTAGAGTCTCAAAGATTTCTTCCTGTCGTTGAGATTTTTGTGTTTGCCAAACATCCATTACTGCAGTGTTTGGAGCCAGATGAGCTGTTTAAGGATGTTCCCATCACTGGAAACAGCCATGTCTTTTTTGCCTCCATTAACTTTTCCCACGTTGTTTCATTAGCTTGATAAAGTTGTAACACTTTTTATTTCTGTTGTATCTTTTTATTTCAGGCAATTTGTTTCCATGGGCTTGGCACAAGTCTGCGTGGCACAGATATGAAAGTTGGCTTATTGCCTCTCTTCTTTCACAATGAAGTTCTTCCTTAAGGAACTTTCCAAATGTTGGATAACATAAAACACTGTGATGTATATAGAATTATTTGAAACTTTACTGATTGAAATCTGTCCTTCAAACAGAATCTGCACACAGCCCACAGGCATATCTCTGCCGTGTCTAAAGCTAACATAGGAGACAAACTTGTAAGAGTTTCTGAAATGCAAGCAAAGCTTATCTTTAACCTTGTGTCACAGAATACATATAGGAGGGTTTTCTAATTAGTGCTATTTTCTTTCCTTCAATATTTAAATTAGATTATCTGTAATTAATGCTTGCTCCTACCATGGGACCCTTCCAGGAGCAGAGTTTGGAGATGGACAGCCTTCACTGCTTCTCAGTTGGGAGCTGCTCTGGGGCTATGGTGTACAGGGCACATCCTGCTTTGTACCACCAGCCCTTACCCTCCTGCTGGTCCCCAGGTCCCCCTCCCTTCTCTCTCTCCCTGGGGGGCTCTTTCCCACTGCTGCACAACCACAGTGCTCAGGCACACTCTTCCTCTCCCTTTGCTCCACTCTCCCTTCTCTGGACCCCAGGAAAAGCTCCATGCTAACAGGGTCTGTGTGTAGCTCTGCAGTCAAGCCTAGAAGATGTAAGTGCATCTCAAATGCATTGACAGACTCGTGCTGTCACTTTTTGTGCCCCAGCCTGGTTTGCATTTGCCACCTTCATCTTTCCCGTAGCGTCTCAAGTCCAGCTGCTGTGTTTTTGTGACTGCCTACATGTGTGGGGCTGCAGGTCAAGCTGGGCTGTGGCCACTGTTCGACTTATGTCTAGAAGCTGTATGTCACTACTCTCTCTTAAGCTCTTACCAATCTCTCTGCAATTTTAAATGTTGACAGATCACCTACACTGAGTTGTTCCCCTTTTCTCCTTGTATTTACAGAGTCATTATATGTCCTGACTCAGTTTATCAGCTCACCTGTGTCTGTAGGAGCCCAGGCTCTGGCAGCACTGAGGAAGGCCATGGCTGGGATTGGGCAGAGGCAGAAGGGAGAGCTGGAGCCCAGGGGCATTCTGTGCTCCCAGCCTGGTGGCTGCAGAGGACTAGCAGCCTGGCTAAGTAAGCTCCAGTCTGGCCAGCAACATTGGCCCTTCCATCTCCATTTTTGCTCTTATAAATAACACTTGAGTTTTAAGTGGACTGTTCATTTCAAGTGCATTTCACTGGGTGATACTACCCCTTTGATTTTTCTAAAGAGGCTATGCGTAGGAGTAGATTTACATAAATTGGCGGGGTTCATCTGCCTCTGAGATTTTGCAATTGTTATTTCAGGTCACATTTAAAAAAGCATAAGCCAGTAAATGTAAGGCTCATCCATGTAATCTGTCTGTGGTATATCACAATTCCAGTCAGTAATTGCAGGTGGAAGGCATAGGGCCTCAGCACTGAAGTATATTTAAGGGGATTCTGTGGAATTTCTGAAAACATGAGGCTTGCCCCAGGCAATGTGTTGCATAAGGGAGTTGTGTAATGCCAAACTGCCTAAAGTCAGTCATAATTTGTATACTTTGTGTACTTGCCTTTCTATCCTACCTTCCTTTCCACAGCTGTGGGTTGGAATCTGTACTTACCCTAAGACAAATGAGAAAAATAAGACTTGACATATTGAAAAAGGCAGAGCCTTTTTTTTGTGCGTGTGCAGCCTGTGCCATCTGAATTCAGTGACCAGGTAATGCCTTCCAGGCAGTGTAAACTTCAGGAGGTGCAGTCAGTGTTCCAGGTGGCCCTTGAGGGGACATCAGACCTCTTTGAGGTCTGCATGAGCAGGTGCACTTTGTACATACTCAGAATATCTGGGCTAGCAGAAGTAAACTGTGGGCAAGGAATGAAGGTCCACAAACCATTTATTGTCTTGCTCCTCTATGCTACTGATAATGTTCACAGAGTCCCTGATAGTACCAGAAGAACCTTATTCTGGAGTACAGGGACTCCTAGGAGTTAACTGGTTTGACTGATGCCATTTTCTACTTGGCTTGAAAGAAAGGAAATTAACGCCACAGCTGTGGTAAGAGGAGTGTGAAATGTTTGCAGATGAAGAGGAAATTATTCTAAATGTTTTGGCTTTCATAGTCACCAAAAATAACAGATCATAATTTTTGTAAAAGAATCTTTTCAAAGTCCAGGTGAAACTGCTTGAGAAAAAAGAGATTTGAAATTTTAATGTGAACATTCATCAGCTAGATGTTTGTTTTAAATTTTGTATAGAGATGGAGCCCATGATGGTAAGTAAACAAAGCAGAAGTGGATAATTTCACTCAAACATCATGGACCTTAAAGGCAATGCTTAATTCCAATGAAGTAATTCTTTTTCTAGTTCCAGTCACAAATGACCCTTTATTGCTGCTTTCTGGTCAAAGCACCTCTTTTCGGCCATCTTTATTGTCTAAGTGTTGTGAATCCCTGGGGTATCTCTTTCCCTATCATCTTCTGCCTAATTGCATTTTAATATCTTTAAATATATTTTAAAAATCTTACTTTGATAGGTGTTAGATTGTATTAAGTTTGTGGCAGTATGTCCCAGGCAAAGTCTTCTCTGCCAGTTTGCAAGGATCAAACAATTTGTTTTTTCAATTTCAGTGTATTTATGCAGGGCACTTGTTGAATTGGGCATTCTCCTGATTTCACTGGAATTATAAGGTAGAACTCAGAGTGTGTTTGGCTCCTATCACTTAAAGCAGTCAGCATCATTAATTGGTAATCTTGGGAAATTATTTATTCTGATCTTTAGGACACAGTGGCATTACCCACAGTGATGCAGTGAAATGCTTTAATTTTTGATTTTTAAACCACTCCAGTTGCTATCTCTTTTTTTTTTTTTTAAGAATTTATAATTTACTGGACTAAGTATTTACAAATTTCACAGAACATTTTGTTCTCTGATTTAAATCCTGCATACCAAGTGCCTGCCTGGGGCAAAGACAAAAAAAAAGTTAGCTTTGATACTCCAAAACTGGCTGAATAAATCCTGTGCAGCTGGCCTGCGTGAAATGTGCCCAGTGACAGCAAGCAGCAGCAAGGATTCAGAGGGACAGGGAGAGCTCTGTGCTGTCAGATGTTACAGTGTTTTATTGCTTTGGCTGGGAAGGGCAGGAATGTGTAGGTATCTCTACTATTCAGTATAAGGGTGCAAAGTGGTTCCCTCAGGCACGTATGTGGACAAAACTGCTGCACAAATGTGCAGTGTTGCCTTCTGCATGTATTTATACATGCTCTGGTGTTTTCCAGCTTTGGAAATGTGGTTAAAGCCTCAAAGTGAATGTGTGAGTCTGCAGCAGCTGAGAATACATTTCCACCACTGGAGGTTCTCGTGTGGTTGAGTGTCTGTCCCATCCTTGGTGTGGAATTGTCTAACCTGCACTGTGGTATTTATCAAGGGAAGTTTTTGGAGATTTATTGAAATGTTCAAGCCAACACAGTACAGGTTACACTTGTCTATACTTGAGGGTGAGATGTCAGGAACTGTTACAGATTGGAAACTGGTTTTTCTGCCTGTGCTGTTCTCTGTTCATCCAACTGTCTCTCATCACTTTGTTTCTCTGTGTAATATAACCCAACTGAGACGTGGTCCCAAGGGAAAGGTGGCTTAAATCTGAATCCTGGAAAGACAAGAATTAAAAGATGCATAGTTTAGGAAAATAAATTCTGGAATATGAAGTTATGAAGGCTGTGACTGGTTCACATGAGCAACTTGCAGCAAGGTCATGTTTTCCTCTGATAGTGCATCAACAGGAATTTGAAAATCCTGCTCTTACTTGGGCGGTGTGAGCAGAGTGCTTTTGGCCATGCTCTGTAGGGCTGTCTCTGTGAATCCAGCTCTATTCTCAGGCTCCAGAGAGCTTCCAGGTTATCTAGAAAGAAGCACAAGAGTAACTGCAGTGGGACCAGATTTACAGAACTGGCCTCTGCAGCTCAGAATGGCAGGACTCAGAAAAGAAGAAAACATAGAGGCTTTCATTAGTTCAGGTTTTTATCAGAAATACACTAAGAGGGACTTAAAAAGATATTTATATGTATTGGATGGTAAACAAGTTTTCAGGAAAATGAGGTGAGAATCAAACTTCCCTTGGAGACAGTTTGGCCAATAGTTTCTGACAGGGTTTTGGTTTTTATTTCCTATGTCATTTGTAGGGATCATACATTGAAATCCTGCTCTGTCCTACAGGGACCACTGGCTTGAACAAGTGCATGACAATTCTTAGGATGCTTGTGCTGAAAGACTTCTCTTAATGGACCCTGATGGGATTTAGTTTGATTTGTTCCAGAATGGAATTGCCCTTGTTTCTGCTGCTGCAGGCTCATGATCTGGAACCTGGGACTTGAGCAGGACTGAGGGATGCATGGTAAGATTGTGTTACCTGTGCACAGGACAATGGTGAAACCTGGGACATGTTGCTTGTGACTTTGGGCTGTCTGGTCTGAAGCAAGGGACAGGAAAGTTTCTTTATTGATGGAAGATAAATGCAGAACAAGGAGAGAAGGTGAAAAATCCTTAGGAAAACTAAAAACAGAAGAGAAGTAGTACTGAGAGTGGGCAAAATCTTTTGCTTGTGTATGTGAGCATTACTCATATAACTTCAAGAGGGTACATGCTTTAACTGAGCATGTACCAGCTGAGGACTTGGCCCATAATGTCCTTTATAAAGCTCTGGTTCCTCCTCAGATAGTTTTTCCCTCCCTCTTCAAAGGGCACCTGTTGTTGGTGGAGTTGGTGATGATACTGGATTAGAGCACATGCAGTCAGCCTGCTTGGCCTCGGCCCTTTGGACCTAAAACGAACTCCAGCTGCTGTTGCCCAGAGCAGGTGCTTCATCCAGCCTGAGCAGCTGTTTGAATGCTGTTTGAATGTTTGCTGTCACAGCCAAGGGGTGGGGGGAGGTTCCCTGAAGGACCCAGAGGAACGACTGATCAGCAGCAAGGAAGGAAGGGAAATGTGTCATGGAGACCTGGTTTTTATGCCCAGCAGACAAAAGTTGTTCTAGCATTTCCTTGTAGAAATAGGGAACAGTGGCTATCACTCTGCATCCACTGAGCCTGCCCAGTACCATGATGGATTATGGTTCCCAAAAAGAGGCTGAGGGACTGCTAAAGACCAGCAGAGCTGGTTGTAGTCACTGGTTTAAAGCTTCAGTGAGTGGCCCAGCAAAACTGAGATTGGGTATAGAGCAGTGCACAGGCTAATGGCCTGCTGCTTGTGGTATCTTGGGCTTCACACTCACACTGCTAGAGGGAGGAAAACAAAAGCAGAGATAATCTGGGTGCGAAGCAGCTACAGGGAACAGTGCCAGGGAATGGAGGCAGAGAGGATAACCTGGGACTATATGGAGATGTGATGGTTGGGAGTTTGAGGTCAGAGTTTGAGGAGGGGGCACAGATAGTTTGTGTCAGAGATAAAGCAGCAGCAACCCATGGTTAGAGTGATGGGAACAGGACAAGGATGCAGGTTTTGTGGAGTAACGCAATCACAACCTTCAAAGGGATGAGGGCAGCTTGGTGTAAGGGCAACCCAGGCCTACAGCAAGAGGTAGTGGGGAGTACCTTGCAGATCAGGGAATCTCACAGGATAAGCTGTTCAAAGTAATTTCCATCACTGGTGTCACAAACAGCCCTTTCCGAGTCCCTTCCAGCATTCCTTCAATTTATTCCACTTCAGCTTTTGTCACTGACCTGGCAGTGGTTCCCGTGCAGTCCTGCACTCTCTGATTATTCCCATGCTGTTAGCAACAGTGCTCCTGGCCTCCCTTTCCAGGAGCATGCACTCCCTGGTTGTGTCTGCATATGTCACTGTTGGCATTAACACCAAGTTCATTATGACTCCTTGGGGTCCCATCCTCTTACCTGTATTCATTAAAGTTAGCAGAGTCCTTCCACTTTCTCTGATAGGCTCACTTTGTGTCCCTGTCCTGTGCATGGCTTTTATCATATCCCATCAGCCAGACTTCTCGTTCTGTGTATCTTTGCTGATTGCTCAACCAGGTTTCCACTGAACCTCCATAAGGATGGTAATGCTAAGCAAGGATACTTCCTCATACAGCTATAAAAGGATTATTCAGGCCAGATTTCATTACAGCATAGCCTAAGAGTAGGAGAAAACATGAATATCGGAGGCCTCTCTTTGTCAGGAAATGGGATTTCCGCAGGTGCTCAGTTGTAAATGCCTTGCATACTTCTAAGGCTTGGTACATGGCATTGCTGAATCCTGATTCAGGATGCAAGAATGTCTCATGACCCCTGCCATGAAAACTGGTGTCTGGCCATGTTTGGAAATCAGCCGTCGATGATGACAGTAGATGAGTATGGGTGAAATGAGCAGCTTGGCTTCAACACTAAACAAGACTTGTTAAACATTGTAAGTACAGATGTCCAATTCATATTTTGAATAATGAATATTATGAACTTTTCTGTAGCAAGTGGTAAGAAGCTGGATCATCTTTCTTCATCTGCTCACAGCCTTCACAGAATTTGCAAGTGTGACAAAGTATTTCATCCCTTTACAGGATTAGGTAAGATTGGTAACCATAATTCATGTATAGAATTACACAGAAATAATCTAGATAGCCAAATATATTGATTTAAAGTTACCTATGTGGTGGGAGGGAAATTGTTTCCATTTTGGTTTATTTGTTTCTTGGGTTGGTCAGGTTATTCAGCTGACTTCAGCTGTCTATTCTTTTGGATGAAAATCTGCAGCTGTGCAGGCCTGTAAAATTTCTGTCCCAGTGTAGCTTTTCCATCCTGCTTCATTCCTGCTATTTGGTTTGCTTCTTTATGAAAATTAAGGAATTGGAAAAATAGTACCAGGAACTGCAGGAATTAAATTCTCAAGGCTGTTAAAGAAAGAGATATGTTAGGAGTAGGGTGTTTCTGTGCTTCTTCTGTTCTCACATCCCTTGGACAAGTCACTGTTGCATGTGGAAAGAAACACCACACACAACTGTTACCAGTGTGTGATGTAGCTCTGTGCGAGGGGAGACATCCTCTGACTTGCTACCGTGGATGTACCAGCAATAGCTCTGTGCTGCCTCCTTATCTGCCTGATAGCATGGCACTGATCAAGTGGCAGCTGCTGCCCTGCCTCCTTCCTCTGCACTTCTCTTCCTCAGCTTCCTTGAACTCAGGATGAATGAAAGTACAGCTTTTCAAATCTTGATGGAGTAGTAAATTCTTGCTAGAAACCAAACCAAATACCATTTTCAGAATGGCCCTGTATTTATGTGTGGCAGCACATTTAATTTGGTATTCCAGAGATTTTTGACCTATATGTGGATAAGAATTTTTTGAAGCATCTGTCTTTTGCTGATTAAAACATAATTAGGTACCAAAGATTTAAACCATCCTAAAAGATGTGAGCAATGTCCAGTGCCCTGTCTGGTGAAGAACAATGGAGTGAAACAGTTTGGGTGTGGTAGAATAATTTACTAACTGCTGGATTAAGACTAAGAAAATAAAGAGTTTATTAGCAGTCTTCCACGTTTAGGGGATCTGGAGAGCAAAGGGATTTACTTTATATGAGGCCCATGTTATGCTGTGCAGGAATTCCCAGCTCAGGGTCAAAAATACTAAGAGTGCCCTTTCACCAGAGAGCAGACAATTAGCTTGCTGCCAGTAGGAAAAACAGCCTTTAAGTGGTGAGTGAACAGAGTGTCAGCAATGGACCTGGAGAGAGAGGCAGCACACAGTCAGAGCCAGTGACATTCTTCACACCTGCTGCGGTGCATAACAGTAGCTGGCTGCCTCAGCCCGTGGCACTACAAGCAGAGCATTGTGCTGTGACACAGCCTGGACAGCGATTGAATTACACACCAGTTAGGTCTTCAGCTTCTCCCTGTCACTGTGGACAATGGAGAATCAGAGAACTGGACATGAGAGCTTTAGCAGGCCTTGTGCTCTCCAGCAGAGGAGGATTAGTTTGTAAATGGTAAATTGTGTTGGGGCCAAGAGTCGTAAAACTGAACTCTTGCCCTGCTGCTGCCTCAAAGGCAAAGGCTCTACAGAAAAGCCCTTCTGCCCCTCTTCTACTAAATGCTGTGGTCAGGGGAGGGGTGGGAATATGTAATCTGCTCCTCCTTTCCTCTGCCAAAGAAGGAGGAAGAAACTGGTACATTTGTGTAATTTTCACTCCTCACCATCTCTTACTATCTTTTCTAAGGAAGCGCATGGGATTAAGTTAATCAGTCTTCTGCCCTTTCCACAGGGATGTGGATTTGCCTCTCACCAAAGTGCTGCTGGCTGCCTGCTGGAGGGTGTCTGTAAGACCTGATTTAACCTGAAGCATGCACTTCTTCAGGAGGTCTGCAGCAGGGCTGGAGGACTGCAAACACTGCATCCCTTCCCTCCTGTCACCCGCTTCCACATGACTGCAGTGCCTGTACTGTGCTCTCAGCTCCCTCACTCTGAAATGTTCGTCATGACGGTTTGTACGGAGGTGCCTTGGAGCAGGCTTTAGTTTTGGTGGCAGTCCCCCTTGTTGCCATGTCATTCAAGAAGATGGCTTTATCCTTGCCTTTATTCCACTGGGACCAGCTGCTCTACCCACAGGCACCAAAAGTGGCAAATCTTCCATAACATTTTTTAATTTTCAACTGAAGCTCTACATCTGAACTTCTTTGGTTTTTTTGAGAGGTAAAGACTTTTTTTCCCTTTTTTTTTTTTTTTGAAACCGCACCAAATAAAAACCCAAACGGCGAAACCCAACAAAGCCAAAACTGTCAGAAAAAAAATAAATCAAAACCCACACGTTGAACCCAAGTTGGAGAAATAACTGCATTGTGTGACTGATACAGTCCATGGGAGTACAAAGCATTCGCAGTCTAGTCTTGCACATCCAATCCCTAAACCTATTAATAGATTTTAGGCATGAGCATAGACATGGAGATGGGCAGGAGCAGTTTGCCATGCAAACATTTATCTGTGAGCCCCAACGTATTTTCTAGAACTGAAGATTTTAGTGTGATAAAGTGGACATTTTAAAGCACTGGTGGAGATAGGGGGGATGTAACTGCACTTAAACTGAGGGTGGATTAGGCATTCTCATATCTTGGAGTCTGCCAGTAAATAGCAAAGTATATAAGCAATGGAAGGAAATATGTCCTTCTTAATCTATAAAAAGAAAAGGACAGTTTTGAAAATCCATCAGTCTTTCAAATCATCTTAAGGCATATTGATTCTGAATCATCACAGGGGTGTTCTTATTAGTGATCTAAAAATATAAATGTAGTTGAATACATGAAAAACTGTATCTTATTCCAGTTGCCTGTATTACTCAATAAATGATACCGGCTCTCTCTTCCTACAGACTTTGTCTCATCTCTTTATAGTGCTGGCACTTATTTTGTTTTAAGCTGAAAAACAATGCATACCTAGGTACTGTAAGGTTATAGAGGCTTTATGAACATACCATTTGGAAGAAATAGTTTCTGCTCTGGTTACTAGTTTGAACTGAGAAAAGATACTCATATTTCATAATTCTGAAAGAAATAGCATAATTACCACATAACTGCTGTAATACAGCAGTTCTGTGTAATCTGCTCGTAAACGATCCATTCCAGAAAACTCCCAAATCTCTCCCACCTATTTTCTCTAATAGGTGGCAAATCCTTCATAGCTCTCAAAAATGCTCACAAGTCTGCAGGGCATGAAGGCTTTGCTTTGGTTTATTTTTTGTAAAGCTTGGTAAAAAAAAATAATGAATGAGAAATTCAGCTGTTGTTCAACATAGTACTGATAACTGAGAATCCATTTTCAAAACTGCAAAATAAATTATGTTCTAAGTTGTAATAAACTAAAGGCTATTCTATGTAATAAAAGCATATATATGTAATAAAAGCTATGTTGGTTTTACTTCTATGGAGTATTTCAGAGGTAAGTTTTAAAGAAAAAAAAAATAAGGAAAAGCAGTCATTCACGAGTGCTGATACAGGAATGACAGAGGTTAATACCACTGACATCATGTTGGAACTGTATAGCATTTTGTTAATGGTTATTAATGCCCTGCTGCTGGGAGACAGACAGTGCCAGCTGCCTTTTGTGTGGTGCCTCTGCGGGTATGCCTGGGCCTCTGCTTGGGAAGGAGACGGCCCTGAGGAAGGCTCAAATCTGCTCCCTCCACTGTAACAGGAGGAGAGGAGACACTGAAAGAAGGCACTTGCAATGCCTTGCTCAGAAAAGGGCTTGGAAGGTGAAGCAGGAGCAGCAGACACCTACAAAGCCACATCCAAGAGATACTGAGAACTTCTGTTTGATTCAGATCTCCAGGACTAAACCAAAGATATACACCCTTTGGAAGAAAACAGCAAGAGATTCAGATAAACATGCATGGAAATTATACCATTAAGCCTGGGGTTGAAGCCTAGGTTCATGTAAGAGAACTCAGAGTTTGTACATCTGTGGAAAGGAGTCAGAAATGTTGTAGACTGAAGGAGAAAAGCCCTTGAGAGGAAGTGAAACGAACTTTGTAATGGCAGAATGGTGATGGATATGGAATAATTAATTAGTTTTGACTACATCATATTCACTGTACATCTAGATTTGTGGGTTTAGCTGTCTCACTTCTGGCTAGCTATTACTTTGTGTAATACCTTTCAATTTCATCCACCATAAGGGAATGAAAAAGATACAAAAAAGTGCAATATGTCAGTATAGTATATCAAATTGTGACAGGCATTTTTAGCAATCTGTACTGAACAGAGGTTTGAGCCTGCATTAGATTATTCCTTAAGTGTATTGTTGTTATGACAAATTTGAAAGGAGCTAAAAGCATTTCAATAGATCAAAAAAGGAAACTTTGATTTCCTTTCCCACAGTCTGGACCCAAAATGGGATTGCCAGCCAGTCTGACATGGCCTGGCCGTGTACCACACCATCACCCACTGGAGAATGGGAGCAGAACAACTGGAGATGAGTTGTGAGTCCTGTGGGAGTAACTGGCTCACCAGGCCTCTCCAGATTATTCAGCTTCTAGATCTCCTTAAAAGCTGGTGCAATGTAACCTGAATAATGCACTGACAGTGTTTATCCAAGAAATGCCTGATGGCCCAAGGACATTTTAATGATGATTGCTACCTGATGGGCCACACAGACTATTGTACTCTCTTCCACGTCAGTTAAAAACTAGTCTATCACTATTTATGTCTTCTAAAAGGGTAAATATGAGTTTGATCCCATGAACCTCAGGTCTGGGGACACAATTTAATTTTAAACCCCATTAATTTTGCATACCCATTAATTATTAGAAATAAATGGAAACATCCATGCAATACTGTATATGTAGTCCCCAATTATGCAGCCTAATATTCAAACACAATGATTTATACAGCCTTTATTTTCTCTGGTAAGTTTTACAAATAGAGTTACCCATACAAATAGTTTGCGGTCAGTTTCCCTCAGTGCAAAGTGTAAGCAGCAGGAGCAGCAGGTCAAGGGGAGCAGTTTTTCCCTTTTGCATGGCATTCAGTGTCATCATTACTGCAGGTAAATTGTTTGTCTGGTTTTAAGGGTTTTCTTGGTTATTTTTTTCTTTTTTTTCTTTTCTTCAACTACCTAAAATGGTTCATGTTACTCTTCCAGTAGCTCAGACTTCTATAAAAACATTTGCAAGGAAAAAAATAGTGTAACACACTGCCTATTTTGAAGAACTTCAAATTGGAAGAAACATTGGAATTCTGTATTTCTTCAAGAAAATAGACTCTTACTAATTAACTTCTGGTTTTTGATTACTCTCACTTTGTTGGTAGATAATATTTAGAAGAATTTAGAATGGCTGGGACTCAAGCTTCACTTTTCATTTGCATTTCAAACTGGAGCAAATGAAATAAAACAGAATGAAGCTAGGGAAGCTTCTACTCACTTCAATCAGTGTGAGATAGCCCCTTCAATCTAATGTATTTCTAGGCTTTGCCTCTTGACATTTTTCTTCTGGGGGTGAGGAAAGAGGAGAAATTGTCTTAACAGTTAACAGAGCAGCAATGAGCCTCTAAAAGGTGCTTTTATCTTAATAAGCAATCAATACACGGTCATTTCTGATGGATATGTTTGGCTGAGGTGGGGTTTTTTTGGTGGGTTTGGGTTTCTTTGCATATAAGGAAATATGGTAACTGGTGCCTCTTAACTATGCCTATAACGTAACTGACTCTGGAAGCTTGATTTACTGTTTTGGATTTGTAGATGGTGAAAAGGAAGTTAAAAACAATTTCCAAAACCTGATCTCTAGCAGATGAAAATCTTGCAGAAAAACAGTCAGGTATGTTCCAATGCACCAAGATCTGGGTCTTGCATTATGGGTCTGTTGAAAATACTTAGTTTCTTTCAGGTTTTGACTATGCTAGCATTTCCCTATAGTTGCCTGAGTAGTGCCTGTCTGGATATTAATCATCCTGTATTTGTGTAAATATGAAGTGCTTGTCTGGAAACCTGGGTGGAATGGTTGAATGTTCGATGGGCTAGTTGGTGTGTATGACTGCTATATACAGAACTATATTGAGCTGTCTCAGGCTGTGTTTGGGGGAGTTTGAGCTGAATTCTGAGTCTGTTTATTGACCATAATATGTGTGTGGAAATTCTCTTCATGGAAAGAGAATAGGACTTTTGAATTGGTAAAGGAAACGGTCAACGACTTTGATGTATCACTTGTACGCTGACTGTTGAGAAAAGTAACTCCCTAACTTGAAATCATGTGTGCCAAGTTACCTTCACTGGCATTGTGAGAGCAGCAGCAAAAGGTTCATGTAATTATTAAGTGGACTTTTATGGGTAAAGAACATACCTTTTTTCCTAGAAAGAAGTAGTATCCAATGTGGCTTCACTCAAAAACCAACAGGAGTTTTAGAATCGCAGAATGGCCTGGGTTGGAGGGACATTAAAGATCATCTCATTCCAACCTCTCTGGCAAGAGCAGGGACACCTTCCACTAGACCGAGGTTGGTCAGAGCCCCATCCAACCTGGCATTGAAACACTTCTATGGATGGGTCATCCACACTTCTCTGGGCAACCTCTGCCAGTGCCTCATCACTCTCACAGTAAAGAGTTTCTTCATATCTAATCTAAACCTATTTTCTTTCATTTTAAAACCATTCCTCCCATGCCATTGCATGATGAGAAGTCCCTTTCCAGGTCTTGTAAGCCCTCTTTAGGTACTGGAAGATGCTGTAAAATCTCCTCAGAGCCTTCTCTTCTCCAGGCTGAACAGTCCCAACTCTCTCAGCCTGTCAAATTTCTTCAGTGTTTGAAAAATGCTGAGGAGCACTTGTTTTTCTGCCTTTCTTCCCCTCCTCCTTAACAAATTGAAAGACTTGCACTCCTGTTACTTCATGGGAGACATGTTAATTCAGCGTAGGCTTTTCTATATGAAGAGATTTACAGAGTTGTGTCACCAAATTGATAATACCAGAGGAAGGTGTAACAGCATAAGGGAAACATGAAACTGAATGTGTTAATTAAAGGTGCAAACTGCAGATGTGAGCAAACTGCAATAGCAAAAAGCTATTCAAACTGTGAAGGAAATGAGAGGAACTGATTTAATTGAGAGCTGAAGATGTTAAATAAGCACCTTGAGTAGAAAGGATGCCAGCAAACACTGGGGATGGAGTTTGGCTGCTGGGGAACCATGTGATGCTCCAAAGCTAGTGTTTTTAAGGGGCACAGTGTAGAGTTGAATGGGTTTATAAATATGAGCACTTCAGTCATGTGCCTCAAAAGAACATCTCTTCAGCCTGTAGCTACTATAAATAAAGGAGATTAAAAGGGAGAAAATTGAAGAACTTTGTTTAAGTGCTTAAGTATCTGGAAATAGCCAAGTGAATCAGACTTGTCTTGCAGAAATAATGGTGTAGTAAGTCAGTCTTGTAGGCTACCATAAACATCTGTCTCTGAATCTGCATATATTCATCATTTGTGCATATATGCCATCATATTGCAAAGAATCTGGGTTCGTAAGAATAGTCTAAGATTTTGGTTAGTAGAGCTTAAGGTTGAAGGCAGCTCCTTGTCTTTAGAGTCTGCTTAATTTTTAAAAACATGGCATAGCTCCCCCTGCCACAACCCTGTGGTGATGGGCAGCACCTCAGCCTGATCTCTGAACTTAAAACACATTTGATCTATATGCTGGCGCTTACTGCCAGGTCCTGCCACTCCACCTGAATAACTATAACATGCTCATAAATCAGGGGAGAGCATTCCTCGCTGACACCATCCCAAATGCCCTACTGAGCTGAAGCCTGTGTTAGCCATCAATGCCTCTTACATAAACATGTCATACTTTAAAGTGGGTTCTTGCAAAAAGCACAAACAATATG